GTGTGTGTAATTTCCATGAAATAAAATCTTGAAAGCAACAAAATTCCCTGTCAAATTTGTGCCTTAAAATCAACTAATGAAGCTTAGTAAAATTGTACCAAATTGAGAAGTCAGTCTTTCCTTACTTGCAAGCAAAAAGTTACTCCACAGTCCAAGATTTTCCATTTTTATATGCTTCACATGTAATTCTGATGGTAATATTCAACCAAGAACCATATCCATGGAACCATCTATAAAACAATACCCCAGATAAGGGTATATTAGTGCATAGTTGCACAACCTGCCTCTTTCACTCCTTGTTTAAAAATTTGTATAACCCCATAGTTATTATAGACTTGTGATAAATGATTATTTCATAATCCTGAACTCAACAGAATAGTACTTAACCATTTTGATGCAAATGGCATATTTGTAAACATACATTGAAAACTGCAAAGTGATATGTAACTGCTGTGATTATTATTCCCTTACAGATAATTGTGGTTCACAATCTGAAGAAGGAAGCAAATACCTAGAAATGTTTGTTTTCCAACTTCCTGCACCCAGCTCATTTCCAAAAAGGATGATATTTGAAAAATGAAATGCAGGGCAAAGTCATGACTTTACCATGCTTCACATTTTGCTCTAACATTGACGGTGCTTTTTAAAATGGTACCTGGTAAAAAGAAAAACTACTCAAAAAGCTGCACAGGAAGGGTCCTGCCAGTCTCACCCCTCTCTGCTTTGCTTCTTATTTTTCTTGCAGAAAAATTTAACATGTCTCTGTGACTCCTCCAAAAAGGTTTCTATTGGTACTTCAGAACCATTTTGCAACAGAAAATCAATTTAACAAACATCAACATCTTTCTAGTTTTTGGTTTCCCTTTTAGGAAAATTCCTGAATGAATATCCATTTGATTAAGTCTTCTCTATCCCATATGTGCAATGAAATTGTGACCTGCATCATCAGAATTGGTAGGTCAACAGCACCTTTTTTAAGTGCCATTATTTAATGGAAGCAGCAACACTGTAGAGCTTTCTGGATCAAAACACAGCAATTTAGTAAGATGATTTACCATTGGTAATAGAAAATATCCTTGAAGGAACTTAACTTCACATAGATTGACAGCTGTGATGTTAAAAAAAATGATAAATTCCCTTTGGAGAATTTTGGTACTTGGTGATTTCTACTGAAGTCAAATAAAGAAACACCTTTTCAAAAGTTTCCCATGAAACAGCCAGATGATTCAAATGATGACTTTTCTTTGAAAATGAAACTTTGAAAGAACATTCACTCCACAATGTTCCCACAGTTACATATGAATGACAGATGGGCAAGAAAAAAATCACAGGGTGAACCTTTGGAGAATGGGCTGATGATTACCAAGGTTTTCAGGATAAATACTCCTATATGCTAAAGAAAGAATACTCATTTTTTGGATCATCATGACATACTTATGATTTAAAATTAATTTTTTCAGTCAAAGAATTATGAGGATTAATTGAGATAATGCACCTATAACTCTGCCTGATGTATACATAACCATTATGAAAAAGATATTAACATTATCACTCTCAGTAGTATTCCCAGTATTTATTTTTTTTTAATTTTTATTATTGGTTGTTCAAAACATTACAAAGCTCTTGACATATCATATTTCATACATTTGATTCAAGTGGGTTATGAACTCCCATTTTTACCCCATATACAGATTGCAGAATCACATCGGTTACACATCCACTGTTTTACACATTGCCATACTAGTGTCTGTTGTAGTCTGTTGCCTTTCCTATCCTCTACTATCCCCATGGAATTTGCAGGGAAATGGATGGTATTAGAATAGATTATGCTAAGTGAAGCTAGCCAATCCCTAAAAAACAAATGCCAAATGTCTTCTTTGATATAAGGGGAACAACTAAGAACAGAGCAGGGAGAAAGAGCATGAGAAGAAGATTAACATTAAACAGGGATGAGAGGTGGGAAAGGGAGAGAGAAGGAAGTTGCATGGAAATGGAAGGAGACCCAGTATTAAATTTTAAGAAAAATTATCACAGATAAGGGATATATTTAGTACATTTAGCTAAATATATCCATTTTGTTTATGTAGCTCTCAAACATGGAATTGTAACTAACCTATCATACCTGTCTTTGTTTGTTAAAATACTATTACAAATTGGTACCATGGATAGTATATTCTGTCTTTTAAAAATATTAATCATTATTATTACTATCAAAATGAGAAGTATTTAATGGCACTTAATAATTTAACTCCCACAAGACGCCCATTTCAAAATTCTATATTAAAAGCTCATCTTAAACAGCTTACTCAAAAGTAACTGTAAGTGTATGAACACCAACATTATCACATTTTCTTCTATTTTTATTAAATTATTTTATCTTTTATAGTCTCACGTTATGATCCTAACAAAGTATGAAGCAGAATTAATTGTGGTTTCTGTATGGTAGATTTTTATGAAATTTATAATATAATACTTGTGAAAGCACCAAGCCTGAAAGGTAAATAAGAATTAACTAAAGTTGACAGAGATATTTCTCATTTGTAAAATATCTTAATTTTAAAGTAAATTATGAGTGTATTTATTTAAAACAGAGATACTTGCTCCTTTTAATTGGGAGAGGATGCAGAAAGGATAAAACAATAATAATTCTTCTTCATATGGCCTGTATTTATTCACTCATTAGATAACTGATTTTAGCGCCTTGATATATGTCCCCTAATATGTTTATCTATGGCCAAGCAATTTCAAATTTTATTCATATGTATACAAGCACACAAGCATGTGCGTGCGCGCGCACACACACACTGTTCTGAAGGATGTACAACAACAAATTGTAATATATGTCTCAACACCAGGGACATCACCTTCTAGAAGTAGATACTAGATGTTCCGGATGTGAGGTATTTCTCATTAAAAACTCTGTAGTGAATGGAGATGAAGAACATCTGTATGGGTACCATTTGTACAGATGATTTTGAAGCAGTGCACAGACTTGTCAATGAAATAGAGGTGACCACTCTTGGAATGATGAGGAGGCAATAGTCACAGCAGTGGTGGCCAGGAAGGTCTTCTTGTAGTTAGAGGTCCTTGTGGCAGAAGATATTTCAACTTGTGTTTCACTAATTCTGTAAAATTTAGCCATATTACTGAGCTGAGAAAAATGTACCTATCAAACATTTATCTCACTTTTCTTTTTTATAAAAGGCAAAATTATCCAAAGTTCAGCAAATATGAGAGGCGATGAAATGTATGTAGTTACTGTTAGATTTCCCATTCAATCTCAGGTTTCATATCATTTTAATTTGCCTCTGTAGTTGTGTTGCTGGCACCACACAATGTAATAATTGATCATTGTGACCCAATGTTCATTAAGAAACACTAAGTTACAGTGGATATTCTAAAGTACCACTAAGACAATTTCATCTGGTTTCACAGAATCTTTATTAAATCGTAACATGTACATATTTTCAGCTTTAACAACATATAATAATAGTTAAAAAAAACTATTGCTACTAATGGATTTTAATATATTGATGATACCAAAGTTAACAGGAATCATATGTTTTTCAACTTCTTTGGATGAAAGTTTGTTTATAAGACTAAAATAATATACAGGCACAAGCTTGAGCCTAATTTATTAATATATTCATTTCTTAAACATGTATTGAACACTCGTTATGTGTGCAGTAGACGGCTTTTATTATTCTTGCTATTAGTCATGGGTTGACACTGAACCAACAGTCAGTAGCTGGCCATTACTACTCACTGAATTCCTGTGCTCCTCACTGATCCCATTTCCCTTTGAGCCTTCAGATTTTTTACTTGTTTTATTTTTAGTTATCTCATCAAAGAATCAACAATTATTTTGATAGAAACTACTTGAGATAGGAAGAAGTGATTGAAATAGATCTTCTGAATTCACACTCATTAATCTTATTGAAGAGATAAAGAATTAAAAAGAGGATGGTATATAATTAAATGCTAATTGCTAAAGGTGATGTGAAAATTTAGAAATAGGAGTGAACAGCATATATTAAAAGCATTAGTGAAGATTTCATAGAGCCAAAGAAATTTGGGCAAGAATTTGAGGGTGGATTGGACTTGGAGAGGAAGAAAAAAAAAAGATAATGTATTTTGGAGAGAACCAACACATATAATTAAGAAGAGTGAAAAAGCATGTGCACTAGTGAAAAGTACTGAGAAAATAGCTTGTCTCATGGGGGCATTGTGATTGCTCTAATTATTCACCAATAAAGAAATTTGGGTAACAATTGTGAACAAAGTGGTGACCAAGTTTTTTGAAATAAAACAAAATATTCTAGAAAAGGAAAAGTTGATTAATCAACAAATGGAATTTAGATAACTTTGGAGGGAAAAGATTTGCTTAAACATACAGGGTAAGGACTGATTGTAAAATCCATTGGTCCCAAATTATGTCTTGACTGATATCCCTTAGTGCGATTGTGGCAGTTTTTGAATAGAGAATTAAGTCTTCTATGAGTTTTTAAGTTCATTTCTTTTCTTTCATTTTTTTTTTCTGAAAACATTTTCTGAGAGACTATCATAAAACACCTTGTTGTCTTTGAAGGTTCAATACATTGATGAATCATTGATGAATCTAAGGTGGTTTTAAGCTTGTACCTTGTCTAGTATTCCTCCTTCTCTGTTGCCAGAGACCTCTGTGATAAAGAAATGGTGGATAAAGGGAACATGTCCAGGATCACTGACCTATTTTTCAATATAAGTGCCACCTCATCATTCACTATTTCCAAACATGAGTCTCAATGCCCATAATTCTAACTAAATAGAATTGTGAATAAGGTAACACTTGAGGGAAAGATCTTTGATCTGTAAAGAGTTGAAGCATCCTTAATTGGGCTGTCAGTTCTAAACTCGTCACATTCTTCTTTTCTTATTTGCTTATGCTGGTATTAAGACCACTCTCTTCTCTGTAACTTTTCTTTACCTGCTAACTGTTCTTGTGCTCTTTTATAATGCAGGAGTTAAAGGATGAAGGAGGCCTCTTTTCTGAACCATGAAGATGCCAGAGAGAAAAGAAAAAAAAAGGTTCCAACAATGCCAGAAACCCTTAGGAAAAATGGAAGAATTTCACAGAGCTGAAGATCGTCTGCCTAAGAAGCTTTCCCAAAGTTTCCTTGGAAAGGAAAGAAGGAAGCATATCTGTGAGAAGCAGCTAAGCACTATCCACTGACTGTAAGCCAATATACAGAAATAAGAATCAAATGTGTAGGATAGTGTTATGGTTTGTATGTGAAATATCCCCAAAAAAACTCATCGGTAATATAATGCAAGAAGGTTTAGACCAGAAATAATTAGATTCTAAGAGCCTTAACCCAATCAGCGAATTAACTCCCTGATAGGATTAACTAGGTGGTAACTGAAGGCAGATAGGGTGTGTCTGGAGGAGATAGGTCTCTGAGAGTGTGCCTTTAGGGTATATATTTTATATCTGGTGAGTTGAGTCTCTGCTTTCTGATCATCTTGTAAGTTGCTTCCCTTTGCCACAATCTTCTGCCATGATGTCCTGCTTCACCTTGAGTCCCTAAGAATAAAGCTGCCTGTCTTTGGACTGAGACCTCTGCAACAATAAGCCCCCAAATAAACTTTTCCTCCTAATATTATTCTTGTCAGGGCTTTTAGTCAGCAAAAAAACTGACTAAAACAGATGGCAAGAAGAGCTGATGCATTCTACCTGCAGAACTCAAATTGTGTTTGTCATCAAGATGGGAGGTATCAGTGAATTGAGACCAAATGTGTTACCGTGTTATGGTTTAGATATGAGGTATCTCCCAAAAGCTCATGTGTGAGGCATGCAAGAGATGAAGTGGTTAGATTATTATAGATATAACCGAATGGATTAATTAACTAGATGGTAACTGTGGGCAGGCAGGGTATGGCTGGATGAAACAGATTACTGAGCAAATATTCAGAGTTGATATTTTTTCCCCTGGTGAGCAGGTCTGCTTCCTGGTTGGCATGTCCTGAGCTGCCTTCCTCCCTTTACCCTTCTACTATGATGTTCTGCCTTATTTTGAGCCCAGAACTATAGAGTCAGCCAAACATGGACTGAACCTCTGAAATTGTGAACTGAAATAACCTTTTTCTTCTCTAAGATGTGCTTATTGGGCTTTTTGGTCACAGCAATGAAAAGGCTAATTAAAACATCAGCTTCTTTGTTTCCACCAGGTCTTCAGTGTTGCTGTTGTTAAGCTCAACAGGTTTCAAGTAACATGCTGAGGATTGTGGAAAACATATATTGCATGGAAACACCAGGATGGGGCGGTCAGTACATAAATTTATCTGTAAGCATGATTATGACAAAATCAAAGAGAAGTGAATTGCCTTGGTAGATAACATTTCCATTGCTCAATTTCTTGGTAAAGATGGCATTTTCTACATGAAGATCGGACTCAAGATATTTATACTGTTGAAAAACACTTCAAAAAGAAAAAAAAATAAAAACAAAGAACTTCCTTCAAATTATGTTCCCCATGAGGTGAAATGAAGAAGACCACCATCTTGTAGAATGTTGAAGATGCTGGTGACAGGGGCTACCAGAAAAATAACCTTGTTAGATGATGAACTAAAGTGTCTATCTACCATGGTGTCTTTCAATTAATGAACAGTGACTGCCCTCAAATTGAAAATAAAATAAGGAACAGGGATATACACTGGTATAGTAAAAGAGAACATCAATTGCTGCCTCCATGCAGAGTGACATAATCTTGACCTCTACATGAGTTGCATGCTGATTAACTTAACCAACTAAGGGGAAGTGTAGAGTTTAAGCTTGACTATCATTTGCTGAAAAGTTCAGCCTAGGCTGAGTTAGCACTGCAATGAGTTGCAGATCCAGAGTTAGCAATGCATAATCCTGTAAGACAAACTCTTTTTATTGAATATTCTACATTGCATGGATTTGACTAGATGCAGTGTAATATTAATTAACACAACTGCAGTGTTAGTTATTTTCCATTTTTATATTTCGATTGAATGGACAATATTCTTCAAAGAGAAAAAGACATTGAATTTAAAAACAACTGACCTATGCCTCTGATCTAGCATAGCACTTATTACTGACAAATAAAATAGTTGCTTAAGGAAAAAAAAAAGTCTCATTTGGTTTATTCTTACCAACAGAAAGCTAGTGTGTGAGTTAGATTTCTGACACTGTGAGAAAATATCTGAGAAAATTAATTTAGAAGAAGAAAGATATATTTTGAGTTATGGTTTTAGTCTACGATAGGATTGTTTCATTACTGTGGCAGAGTGTCATGACAGACATGATGGAAATGATATGGTACAGTAGAACTGTTCACCTCAAGGCAACTTGGAAAGAAGGGGTGGGGTACACAGAAAGAAACAGAGAAGGGGCTAGGGACCAAAAGACTAGTTTCTGAGATTATTTTCCTCCAACTAGGCCTCACTTCTCACAGTTCCCACCACTTTCCAATAATGCCATCCAATTATTAATCCATCAGTGAATTAGTCTACTGATGAGGGCAGAGATCTTATGTCGAATCACTTTCTAAAAGCCCCACCTCTGAGCCTCACTTCATTGAAAACCAATCCTTCAACACATGTATATTTAGGGGACATTACAGATCCAAACTATAACAACTAGTATGATTTTTTTTTTCCCCTAAAGAAATTCAAAGTGATGTCATTGCCTTAGAGAATTTGTAGTTGTATGATTAGAGTGTCTCTCAGAGACAGAACTTTGGACTGTAGAAATTTCCAATTCACACTAGGGAATTTCTTGCATTCTTATGTAAATAATGAATTTAGGTAAGAATACTCTTTTTTTTCTTTCTAAATTATTTTTAATAAATAAAATTAAAATGATCTTAGTTGGTTATTCAATTCTTCTAAAACTTTACTATTGATTTTAGTTTGAAGAGTTCAAAACTATTTCCATGAGGTCTGGGGTCATATTGCATGTTGTCATGACTAGATTCAGATACAATGGAGATGAGTCTTTGCTGTCAGTCACGGGAATAACATCCCAGCTCTATTCTAGCCCTATTCCCAAGATCCTTAGTGATGGGCCACTTCAGAACAAGTAGTGAGAGCATGAACAAGCTAAATTTAAACTTGCCTCAAAGGATAGGGAGTTTGAGCCAAATCTGGAAGTAGTAAGATCATGACTGAGAGTGAGAACTCACCTCTGCCCAGTCTTTGATTTCCCTAAGAACATTAACAGCTGAGCCAAGGACTTGACAGATGGAAAATGGCCAGTGAAGGGAATAAAAGAAGAGGACATTCAGGGAGATGGTTGAACAGACCAAAAGAAAAATGTTAGCTGGCCCTTAAGCCCTTAAAGAACTAATTGTGTATTCTTTCCAAATTTTGAATCTGTACGTTTGTAAGTTTTCCCTGGAAATATAGCTTGATTAGTCCTTCTCTTCCTTTGTTTGGAAGAAAGAACCTCGTCATAATCCTGCCACATGCCCCTAAGCAGAATTAATTTCCCTGCTTGACAGGACTCAAGCTGGTGGAGGACACGCTGAGAGAATCTGGGTGTATGTGAGGGACCCAACACAGTGCAGTACTACAACTGTAGCATTGGACCACTCGCATGTATCTTGAGCTCATCCTATCAGTTATATGCATTTTAAAAGCTAATAAAAAAACACAGCAATCTGTTCAAATACTACTATGAAAGTTAGCACCACTTTCCATAAAAAAAGAAGCCTGGTTAACTTATGCATGGAATGTGTGAAAGAACACCAAAAAACATAAAAAGCAAGAGTGGGATTAACTTTGCAGCTGGGCCTACAGGAATACTGTGCAACTTAATTACTCAGCAACTCAGCCATAGGAAAAAGGTTAAATGAATTTTCTTATATCCTTATAAGGCAGCAATTTGAAATTATGCTTTAAAAATGAAAAAGCAAGACAGAAAATGCTGTACTAATGAGAAATAAGAGAATGCAAAGTTTTTTGATGGCATATCTTTAAACCAGGTACAAGTTTTCACAGAAAAACTGAAAAGATATATAAAATGTAAATAGTAGTTATATGATGTGGAAAACTAAAGATGGAAACTATTATTTCACTGGTGTTCAAATTTCTGTGATAAATAGCTGCACTGTAGTTTTGAATGAAAATGTATCAAAGAAACAGACGGAATGGGTTAAGCAAACTTTTTCTTGGGAACTGACTTGATCACTAAAATTCTCTTATCTAATTTTGGGAAACAGACCTAACTAATAACCAGTGAATACTTAATGCTCCTCAACTCTAAACAAACAAAAATGACCCATGCTTATGTGCAGGTTTTATAGAGCTGAGCAGATGTCTGAAGCAGCTGACAAGACAGAAAGTGCCCTATAGTAGATAACAATACCAGAGCACACTGTTTAGCAATGTCTTGTCTCACTTTGCTCTGCCAGCAAGTTCAGAGAGTTAACAATCAAAACCGCCTCATGTATTTAAACTTTGTGCAGTGGGTCATATAAACATTCTCTGAGTTAAATGGTGTAATAGATCTAAAAATCTCTTACCCGCTTTCTTTTCTCTCTGAGATTTATCACGCTGTGATATAAATACTCACAGTATTTTACAAGACAATGAACTTGGCTTTCTCTAAGGCCAGTAACTTTTGCTGATTAGTGGAAATCCAGAGAGCTGTAAAATGGCTGTTTGACAAAATCTTGGGACTTTTAGAAGTGCATCCTTAGAAGATATTTCAAATTACAATATGATCATATTTCTAAAACCAAAAATATCTGAATATACACATGTATATATATATATATATATGTATATATATATATTTATGTAAAATGTAAAGCATGCCAAAAACCTATATCCAAGGGAACTGCTAATCTCTGACAGATAGCCAACCCAGAAAACGTGTAATGTTTAGTTTTTATCTGTTTATTTCTCTTTTACTTGCCTTCTGGGAGATGAGCCAGTTGGATGGAAGTTGGATATGAGAGCTTGAACGTTTTAGTAATTCCTTCATTCTTGCCTTAATGTAACATGACACTGTTGGTCACATACCTATCTGTTGCATTCTTGAAAATATTAGTGGTTGTCCTCTAGGGAATTTCATGGTTCCTGGAGATTATTTCCTCTTCTCCTGTTTTCTTTTTCTTTTTTTTCATTACAGAATGTGATGTCATCACAGCTCTATCAGCTCCACAATGACAAGAAAAGTGGGCACTACCACAATAGAAATGTACTGTTGCTCCTCACTAAGGAAGCGAGGAGGTTCAGGATCTCCTTTTCTCTGTGCTGATCACCCTTGCCTGCCCGGTCTCCCTCAGCTCTCAGAGAAGTCCCAGGAAATGAAGACATCAAACATGGGATCCAGTGGCGTTCCTGTCTTCATCCTCAGCAAGCGGGCCTGAAAAGCGAGTCTGTACTTATTTTGGTTCTGACAAAGACAGAACAATGGGTGGCTGTGTGCAAAGCCTTTTTGTTCCTGTCCAATCTACAGGCATTATCCAAGGAATCCCCATTCACACGAGGACAATGCACAGGCCTCTCTCCTTGTTTAGACTGTAGCTCACTCTATCTTTAGGGCTCCTCTCATTTTCTTTCTGGCATTTTAATCCTTAGACTTAGAGTTACCCAATAATTAAATAAACTAAATTAGAAGAAAATGCTGATGTCTCTAAGTCATGGAATGCTAACATAAGGATATCTTCTTTTTTTTTTTTTTTCCTACCAGAGGTTAACGATGCCCATGTTAAGCATCTTCAGGAGAAACACTGAATGACCTTCAGTTCAATTGTGAGACAAATCCTGGGAAGCCGTTTCCCTCCTCTTGAGTCACATTTTCTCTGTCAGATATTATTGAAAAGTTTAACTGTTTGGTTTACTTTCATCTGGCACAACAATGAGAAAGTTTGCTTTTAGAACTAAAAATTAGGCTTTTGTCTCAGTAAAAGATGAATGATATTTTTAAGGAAATCTCTTCTTATATATCTGACTTGAAATTTGCTCACTGAATACTGAATTTACTCATAGAAATGAAAGTATACCTTTTGATAACATGGGAAGCACGAGAGGAAATTTACAGCTTTTTAGGGGCAAAGCCAAAGTCATTGTTACATTTATAAAACAACCAATAGACAGATAAAAAGAACTTTAAGAATGTACTCAATGGTTGAATTTAGAAATAAACCATCCACTCGCTTATATAGTAAGTAATGCATATTTTTAAGCTAGATAATATTAGAGACTGGAAACAGAAAGCCAGAGTTTGAAGACACTCTTCTACTAACTTAACTTTAACTCAGTTTTTCTTGAACTATTTTCTTGGCTCTTAATTGTCAATATACTAGATTCCTATTTATTGAAGGCAAACTATAGAAACTATGGCTTTAGCTGGCTGTGGTGGTATAGATCCTGTCTTAAAATATAAAAAGATCTGGGAATGTGGCTTAATGGTTAAACACTCCTAAATTCAATCCCTGGTTGAAAGAAAGAAAGAAAGAAAGAGAGAGAGAGAGGAAGGAAGGAAGGAACACACTATGGGTTCAGTGATATCTATGAATTTTTTTCCATATAGTAGCTTCCATTTGATATTTGTTCCTTCCAAAAATGGAGGAATGGCTCTGAGAGTTTGGAAAAATTATGAAAATAGAATTCAGACATATTTTGAAATTCCTTTAAAAATTGTTTAGGATAGAGAATGAAAGTAGTTGATTTCAATGTATATTGGAAGTTTTCTGGGGAATATCATTTTATCAGTAGTTTTGTTCATCCTTATACATAGATGGTCAAAAGATGGTTTTAAGAAGAATCTGATAAGTCATTAATAAATTTTGATTCTAAACATAGGGCTTATTTTTATAATATGCTACCTTAGTTTTAATTTATTTTTTTATTTTTTTTTAAAGAAAGAGTGAGAGACGAGAGAGAGAGAGAGAGAATTTTTAATATTTATTTTTTAGTTCTCGGCGGACACAACATCTTTGTTGGTATGTGGTGCTGAGGATCGAACCCGGGCTGCACGCATGCAAGCCAGGCGAGCTACTGCTTGAGCCACATCCCCAGCCCTACCTTAGTTTTTATTCCCCAAAGAAATTCTGGAAAGAAGAAACAGAAACATTATTAGCTTTATGTATCTAAGGTTTTACCTTTGGAAATTAACTCATTTCTCAGGACTCAATTTCTTTTGTTGTTATAAATAAATTTTTAAAAAAGAATTAATTGACTCAAGTGACCAGCAAGTCTAGGACGAAGCTTATTTCACTCTGGCTAGTAGGGAACTCGATCCTGCTTGCTACCTCCCAGTGTCCTTCCAGCTCCATAGTGCCTTCATGGTCTTTCAGTGCAGAATGACCAGCAGTCAGGGATGTAAACCACCAACTACAGATTTATAGAAACCCAAATTTGTAACTTCAGAGGAAAAATAATGTTTTTCTTAATATATCAGTATCAATGTATTGATGGCAGGAATCAGCTTAACTAGTCCACATCATTTTGTACAAGAGCAAATGTTCTGTAGCTAACCAAGTTCAGTCACATGGACTTCTTTTCTAATGCAGAAAGGCAGTTTAAACACTGTCAGAAGGTGGGAAACAGTGTGCCCATCAAAGAGGATATCTTGCAATGATTCACATTATGATTCTAAATAATTAATTGGAAAATTACAAATTATTTTCTAAAAATTCATTTTCTCTTCTGACCCCTTATTTTTCACAGGACATTTAGAACAAGATTCTCTACTGAGATAGGAATTTAGCATCTCTAATTTAATATGTTCGAAACTGAGGTTTCCCAAATCTGCTCTTCCCATAATATCCATTTAGTAGATGCCTACTACCTTTCACCCAGCTGCTTAAACAAAAAGACATGTATGATCATCCTTAACTTTACTTTCATTATTCATCAGCAAAATCTATTGGCTCTATGAACGTCTTGGACAATTTGGGCTGCTATAACAAAATACTATATACTCTGTAAGTTATAAATAATAGGAATTTATTTCTAACAGTTCTAGAAACTGAGAGCTCCACAAGGCATTAGCAGATTTGATGTCTCAATGTTGAGAGGCCACATTCTAGTTTATAGATGGCATCTTCTTACTGTATTCTCACATGGTAAAAAGGATAAATGATCTTACACTGTTTATTTTTTATTTTTTTGTTGTGTATCCAGTCCAGGGCCTTGTGCATACTAAGCATATACTCTATCACTGAGCTTTACACCCACCCTTGGGCCTTTATACAGGGTATTAATCCCATTCATAAGAGGTCTATCATCATGACCTAAGCACTTCTCAAAAGATCTGTCATCTAAAACCATCATGTTGGTGCTGAGGATTTCAGTGTATGAATTGAAGTTGGGGGCCCAGAAATATTCAGGCCCTAGCAGTGAGTGTTATATATTCAGAATCCAATCATCTTTCCCCATTTGCTTCTGTACCACTCTAAACTAAGGGACTATTATCTTATGCTTGGATTATTATAGTAGCCTATCAACTGGTGTTACCAATCCCATTTTACACAAAATTTGACCAGTGTCTCCCATATAGCAGCTATATGGGAGTGTTCCTTTATAATCTGATTTTAGTCACATAATTCTTCTGCTCAAAATTCTCTAAAGACATTGCATCTCGTTTAAAGTAAGATTTCTTGAATAACCTAACAAGGCCCTTTGTAACCTTCCTCCCAGTTTTCCTTCTGATTGCATCTCCTGTTACACCCTGCCAGCTCCTCTTATTCTAGTCACATGAACCTCCTTGTTCTTGAACACTTATCAGGCCAGTTGTTTCTAATGGCCTTTGCATTTTCTGGAATCTCTTTCTGAAATGTTCACTCACATTTTCTCTACTTCTTCACTTCTGTCTAGTCTTA